AAAAAAAAAAAAAAATTCAAAGGCAGGTTTAGAGGAGAAATTGAAAAATTAAAAGTACTAAAGTGACCCAAGTCATTCCTGGCACAAAGGAAAGTTGTCAGTGGCCTAGTTAGCTCCACATTCTTATGGGTCATTGTTATCATCTGAGTCTTTCCCTCAGTTTTTCCACATCCCCTGTAATTCTGGAAAGATATTAAATATTTGGTGGCCTTCAATCCCACACACACAAAGTAAAAAGATGGATTGCAAGAAATACTTTTTCCCTGTAGGCCATTGTCAAAAGCTCCCCTTTACTACCACTTTTAGTGAAGTGTTGGAGTTTGACATATAGGAGTCAAACAGCCCTGAGCTGGAATACCAACTCTACTACTTACTAGCTGGGAGACCTTGGGTAACTCCCTTAATTCCTCTGAGCCAGTTTTTTTCATCTATACTCATTCAGATAGTGCCATAATGAAATAACATATGCTTAACATCGAGTAGGAGCTGAGTGATGTTATAAGTCACTGTTGTCACTGTTATTATTATTATTATCCAGCTATAGGCTTCTGCTACTCCTTTTTTTCTCTTGTGGTAAACAGGTGTTTCCTCCCTGCTGAGCATTTTCTCACAAGCTAACCCTTTAACAGAGTGGGGAGACCTAACATTTTAGGAAATCATACACATCTGGCCTCCTGTTTGCAGGAGCTGTAAATCTTTGAAGCAAATGCTAAACTGAAACAGCTGACAAGAATTTGATGCCTCACAAGAAAACCTCCCATGTGGGAAAAGAGATAGCAAGGGAGAGGAGGCCTAAGGAGAAATAAAGGCAATCCAAAAGAACCAAAATGGGAAAACAGAAAATAGAAAGAAACATTTAAAAATGAACTCTTCCCTTTGGAATGAAGGCAAACCAACAGGGACATGATTTCATAAGCAAACCTTCAATTTGACTCATTCCCTTGTTCACCAAGTTAGACTAGTTTCCAAAAGTCCCACACACCCCCAGTCTGGGCCTCCCTGTGGGGAGTAGAAAAGCTACATCATCTAGCCCTGTGCTCCACCCTTTAGTGCAGGGGGCCTCTTCCTGGAGAGAAGGATTTAGGCTTGTGGTCTGATTGTTTACACAGGCTAACTGGCTCCAGCACCAAAACCCAGCCCTGTCCAGGAAGCACAGTCTCCAGGAAATGGAGAATTGTCTTCAGACTTCAGAATGGCTGGCTGCCCTATTCCTGTGCTCACATTAGAGCTCAGGAAGGCTGGAAGAAGGGCTTCCATAAACTTCAGTCCAGAAATGACCAACTTGTTTTCCAATGAATTCATATTCATCTGGTGGAACATACAGGTTTTTTCTCCTAGACAGCCACAGACCTGCCTACAACAGGGACTGGGCCATTTAATTGGAAAGAGGTAGATTAGGAATGTTCACTGGCTCATCAACTTCCTGCAAAAGTTTTCTCATTAAATGAACAGGAAATTTATTCAAAGCACTCTGTCTTAGGCTGGGGGATGTAGCTCAGTGGTAGAGTGTTTGCACAGCAGGCTTGAGGCCCTGGTACCAATCCCTAGCATAGCCAAAAAAAAGTCTCCCTTCTCTTTTCTCCAAATCAGGAAAAAGTGCTCATGAGACGGTTTTCATTCCTTCTTGTCTTTTGAGCCATCCTTTCTGCCTTAGCATGCCATTCCCTTCAACATCATGTGACAACGCTTATGCCCTGTGGGCTAGTGGGAGCTTGAGTAATTGTTTCCCTCTAAAAATATTGAGCATGTCTGTAAGAAAGGAAAGAATTTTAGGCTCTATTTTTTTTCTCCTACCTGGAAGAACATCCCATCCTCAGAATTTGGTCATCAGTGTTTCATAAGTCGTGTACATTGCATCAAGGGAATGGATCAGTTATAAATGACTATAGTCAAGATTCACAGGATTGATAGATGGACAAGAAGTTCGCTTACAGTATTTTTCATTTGAAAGAAATCCTCTAGTGATACCACTGACACCCAACTATGAACTTGCCCTCTCATATGCTGAGGTGCACCCACTGTAGTTCCCATAGCTTTTTCCAGTCACCTGACTGCCTGCCAATGCAGTGCCAAGTCCACAGGAAAAGATAAAGATGGGGGTGCAGAGGGGAGGGGTGAGAAGGACTTGAGTGAAATACTAATACATTATCTTGATACTGTCTTCATTCTAGGTTCAGGCTACTATCCAGATGAAAGTTACAATGAAGTGCATACAGAAGAGATCCCACAAACTCCTCCCCTAGACTATCAAGGTAATCTTCACTGTTTCTCGGGTTTGGGAAGGCCTAAGACCTAGGCTACTCCTTGAAGCATGTTCATCTAGGCTTGGCTTATATGTGTCACTTGCAGCACTGGGAAACATCAGGGGCTATGATTGTTAAAAGTGAACTACCTAGTTCTACTACTGACCGTTAATGTGACTTTACATCTCTATCCTGCAGGTTGCTTATATATTATTAATCATTAAATATTGATTGAGTACCTACTCTATGCCTAATACTATGCAAAGTAAGTCTTTATGGGATACAAAGTCTAAGGTAGAGTTTAGCTCCCCTGAAAGAGCTCACATTCTACAGGGGATGAAGAGAAGATAAAATTAGCACATATAGGAAAGTAAGTATGATGCTCTGTGGTAACAGTAAATGTAATAGGAGTTAAGAAAAAGACAGGAAAGGGATCATGAAAGAAGAGAGTTAGGCTAGGCATTGAATAATGAGTGGAAAATTGAGAACTGGAAAAGAGAGGGGAGGACATTTGGCAAAACAGACGGCCGAAGATAGGGAGGTAAGTAGAAACTCATTTCAGGAGAGAACTAAAATGAAACCAGCTTGACAGAAGGTGATGGAATGTAGAGGAAGTCGTGAAGAATAAAGTAGAACATGGAATGAAATCAAATCTGAAAAGCCTCTGTGATCTAGGAACCTGCTTAAGGTAAGGCAGGGGAACTGCCTGTGAAGAACGCTGAGTAATGGTTCCTGCACTAGAAGAAAAGTTAGGTCAGGTGATAGCGAATATCTTTTCCATTTCTTATTCTGTTTCTATACTTTTCAAGCCACTTATGAGTGTAGCTGTTGTACTAGGTGCAATAAGGAGCCATCATATTTTTTCACAAAGAAGCAACACTCTCAATGATAATTTCAGAACATTAACCCAGTTATTCTGTTCAGAAACTAGTGGTTGGAAATGTGGTATATATGCGTAATGGAATACCATTCAGCCATAAAAAGAATGAAATCATGACATTTGCCAGAAGATGGATGGAATTTGAGATCATCATATTAATGGAAATAAGTCACATGAAAAGTTAAATGTCATGTGGTTACTCTTATATGAGAAACTTAAAACATAAAAAAAGAGTTAAACAAAGGACAGAAGGTAGGAAATAAAAAACAGAACTGTTGGAGATGGGGAAGGGGACGAGGAGGAGGGAAGAAGGAAGGATAGATTTTGGGTGGATAAAGGGATCAAAAATGATCCAGATATGTACCTCTGTATGCCAATCCCACCAAAATGAATGTAACGATAACTGTAATGTATGCAAACAAATGCTAATGAAAAGGAAGTCATAGAGCCTGAATTGGGAAGATTCTCCAGGAATCAGAGTAAAGTTAGCTAGATATTTTTGAGGCTAATGGCAAAGAAATGGAGAGTAAGGATATGCTCCAGAGGGGCCATGTATATAACTCAGTGGTAGAACACTTGTCTAGTTTGCTTAAGGCCCTGTGTTCAATCCCAAGAACCTCGGGGAGAAAAAAAAAAGGAAAAGATGTACCCAAAAAATATTCAAAGAAGGAGATGACAAGACTTGCTACAGATTTGTTATACCATAAGGCTATGAAAGAAACTGATGTCTGAACCATGCATGGTGGCACATACCTGTAGTCTCAGCACTCTGGAAGGCTGAGGCAGAAGGATGAAAAGCTTGAGCCCAGCCTGGGCACCTTAGCAGTTTAGCAAGACCCTGAAATACCTCAGAAAATTATAAGATCCCTCTCAGAGAGACAAGGTTATCAAAAAAAACTGTTTTAGTAAAGATATCCTATAGGCAGTTGGAAGTGGAAAGATAGAGCTTTGTAGGTTCCCAGCTTAGATGTACGGGCTGTCTGAGGAAGTGGAGGGCCAAGGTCAAAGTCTTGGCAGACATCTTTAGGTATGAGTAGGATAAATAGAGCCAGCAAGGAAAAGAGTTGGTGGCCAGCCATGTGACAAGAAACAAAGGCAGTTTCTGTCATATTACAGAAGCCACAGAAGAGAATTTTAGTAAAATGGAAAGGGTAAGAGATCAACTACATCCAGTATTGAAAAAAAAATCAAATTTAAGGTAGAGCAAACATTTTACTTAGCAAGGTGGCAAATCGTGACCTTTGAGAAAAGTTGTGCTATAGAAGTGATCAGAACTTTGGGTTCTTCTATGCTCATTTCCAGCTTCTGTCTTCTCACTGCCACTGTTCCATACCTATTCATTCTGTCTCTGTGCCCACTAAATTCTAAACTCTCTTCAGACTCTTTCCTATCTGCCAACTAATTCCAAGCTGAAACAGCATCTCTTAGAGACCACCGTTCTCTAGTGACTAAATTGGGTGGCTTTGCCTTTCAGTCTGTCTCTCCGGCAACAGGGAGCATGCCCCTTTCTTCTTAACCCTAATTCTTTGGGCTCCATAGCTTTGCACTATTCTGGTCATGGATGAAGCCAAGAAAAGAGATGGGTTTTCTGGTGGTGACAATAGAGAGAATGAAGGTTTGATATGAACTTTAGGCAACGCTGACCTATCTCCTGAGCTCCTGGACTACAATCTTGTGCAGGTGGCTAAAACAAAATTCTTTTATCTTGCCTGGAAAAGATTCTACTAGCTGAATTTCCTACTTCTGACAACGGTGCCATCATTTTCTTCAGTACTCAGACTTCAAATTCCCTCAGTGTCACTTCTCATAGTGCCCATTGCCTTTAGCACTCCCCTTTTTGTCATCATGCCTCACCAGTCCTTCAGCAAGACCTGTCATTTCTTTATTAATCCTTAGGTTAAAAGTTTAATTAACTCACAAGTAGACAATGGTAGTTTCTTCTTAAGTGGATTCTCTGATTCATGTTTCTCTAAACTCCCACCTAAGCCTAGACGCCCACTATGACCATTTTAATCAGAATCTGGCCTCAGTCTAACTTTCTAGCCTGACAATTTCTTGTTCCTTTCCCCCTGTAAAACCTGTGCCTCGGCCAGCATACTCTATTCAGTTCCCAGACTGCATTAGCATACATGGAGCTTTCCCTCAGCCATTCATTTTTTCATTGGGTATTTATTATGTACCTACTATACATACTTCTTTTGAAATCAGTGTCCATTGTCTTCATCATAAACTGTCTCTTTTGTCTACTTTTTATTACTCTCAACAAAGTGGTTGCCTTTTTTATCAGGCAGATCCATGTATGTAACTCCAACAGAACCATGTCAAAAGTAGATACTGACTGTCGACATCCTGAGAATAGAAGCCAGATTGTAGGACACTGTTAATGAGAGAAGTGGATAGTAAAAAGCAACAAATGAACCGGGCATGGTGGCACATGTCTATAATCCCAATACTCTGAGGGGCTGAGAGTAGATGATCACAAGTTCAAGCCCAGCCTGGACAACTTTGTGACTTAATGAGACCCTATGTTTAAAAAAAAATTTTTTTTTTAATGACTGGGGATATACCTCAGTGCAAAAGTCCCTGAGTTCAGTCACCAGTATTGGGGGGGGGACAAATGCAGAAGGTACTTTCAAGGGGAGTGGCAGCTCTGTGGTAAATACTAACCTACCTCATTGATTATTTTTTAAAAAATTAACTTTGAGCTATTTAAAAAAATACAACTCACATAGTAGATTTAGTGTTGTGGTCTAATGCTAGCCTGAGGACCTAAAACAAACTAAATGAGATTACCAATGAGGAGTGGGAAGGAGTAGCCAAGAAAAGTACCAAATAAGGTCCTGGTCTCCCCTTTAAGGCCTTTGTGGCCTCATAATCAACAGCTCTACAGCTATAGTGTTTTTAAATCTTTCTGTCATTTGGAGTCGATGTCTTGAGATAGCAGCTGTGTGTGTCATAGGCACACAGCAGAAAATAATGCTGGTAGGAAGCCACAGTATCTTGTACCCTAAAAACGGATGAGATGATGTCTTAAACCCAGACACTGATTTACGAAACATCATTTGTAGGGCTAGACATTTTACAAATGCAATGTTATTTGATTCTTAGCATAGTCCTAAGAAAATGATTTATTAGTGCCCATTTCTCAGATCAGGAAACTAAGCTCAGAGAAGTTAAATTTAGAGTCATAGGAATTAAATTTGACAGAGCAGAAATTTAAATCCAGATCTACCTGATTCTAAAACCATAGTTTTTCCATGTTTTTCATTTTAAAAATGTAACCTGTTGTTTTAAAAAGACTAAAAAAAAAAAATCTAACCAGTTAAAAGTGTATCATTAGTGTAGAGCAAACTACCCATGTAGTTTGGTACTGTTTTAATCAATCTTGTATTTCCCATCATTATCTTACCATGCAACCTAGCTTGGTGTCAAAAGCCTTTCACTGAGGTGTGCCCTGAGACTGTTGGGCTGCTGCTTTCCTCGAAGCTTGCCTCAGCCTTGAGCAAACTAGTAATTTTGTCTGGGTTATCTGAAGATAATCACAGAGAAAGCCTTTTCAATCCTGTTGTCAGTGCTATCTCTTCTTTATCTGCCCTAAAAAGAGAGCCTTTCCACCCTTTGATCCAGGACAAATACCTATTATATGCCAGTCACTGAACTAAGTATATTATAAATGTGATTTAATTTAAATAGATTGTACGCATGTTATGTAGTAATATGGAAAGACCTTTTCAAGTACATTGTTCAGTTTATTTTAAAAAGCAGTGGAGAGACCTGAGGAAGTAGCCAAGTAGTAAAGCATCCCAAGGTCCTGCGTTCCATCCTCAGCATCCCCTTAAAAAAGCAATGGCGTGAAGAGTGAGCATAATATGCTACTCTATGTGTTTAAAAGAAGGAAAAAATAAGAAACTATACCAACATTTACATTGTATACATAAAGAAATTATTAACAGTGATTCTTTAGGAGGAGACAAAGTGAGGGTAGGCATGAGAATAGGATTGGAAGAGGGACATTTTACTGAGTAACAGGGGTGTGAAACGTGGATATATTGCTTCTCCAAAAAGGAGATGAGTATATATGTACTTCAAGATAGCAGCTGCAGTGGCAGATTTTATGCTCAGAAATATGGATTGTTAGAGCAAAGTTTGGGTTCAAACCCAGGCCCTGCCTCTTACTCGCTGAGGAACCATGGGCAAATTACTTCCTCATCTACAAAACAGAGTTAAACCCCTACCTACATCACAGGGTTATTACGGGACTCTATGAGAAAACATATGAAAAGAAAAGTACATAGCATTGTGCATAGATGGGGAAATACTCAATATAGACCAACACATTTCCTAGTACACATCATTGTGTGCTTTATCTAATCACATCCTTAGTTTCAGTTTCCAGTCAGTATCCTTTGAGTGCGGGTTTTCAGCCATTTATGAATCTTCAACTGTTTTGTCACCACTCCTGTATCTTATCTAATCCATATCACTGGCATGAAAAGCATTGCTATATGACTCATTTGCTTTTACATTTCTCCTGTTCTACCAGTCTGGTGGCCCTACCCAAGAAAGAAATGAGGTCAGTCTCGTATTCCTTGTTCGTGTGGACTCCTAGAGATTACCACTTCTCTGTCTAACTGCTAATAAGTCATACCTTTAAATTTCCTAGAATAGTACGCTATCAGTGCTGTAAGTATCACAAGGCTGTATTCCCAGAGGGTGTCTTCTTTCTTATTTGAAAACTAGGATTGTGTATTTGCCCCTTTGCAGACTTTTAACATTTTGCCTTTATACTAGGATTCCTCTGGGCCAACAAAATTGAACTTATTTACAAGGGATTGGCCTCTCTTACTGTCTCAATATTTGCCTTGAACTTTGTATTTCCCTTTACCATTGTTGCTTCTTCTATCAATTTTAATTGGATGGGTATTTTTCTTGACAGAATACAGGAAAAAAATAGAATGGAAGTGATTGTTGAGGTCTCAGCCTCCCATATAAGGACTTTGGAATGTGTTGTAGCCTTATAATCAACAATTCTGTAACATAGTGCTTAGATGACTTTGTAATTTGGAGATGGTGTCTTCAGATACCAATCCTGTCATTGCCACAGGGTCAAAACTAATCCTGGATGTTCCAAGTGTGGTGCTGGTTGAACTTTTCTTACTGTCCTCTGTCTTCATTTTTCTAGCTGTGTTCCTTTAGCTTCTGGTGTGCTTTTTAGTAAAGTTCCACTTTTTTATACCTATGACTTTGCAATCAAATCAGTTTACATGGGGCTTTAGCCTTCCCAACCCTAGGCAAACATATCTGTGTCATGTAAACATCTTTGGGCAGGTGGCCTTTAATTGATTTACATACGTACCATTAAAACCTGAACCCACCCGAGGAGTCATGTATTTCGTAAGACCAATTAGGCATCTTTATGATGCTTTTATGTTTTAATGGCCCTGTAAATTTTTGTGCTCAGAACTGAATTAGGATTAGACTTTTATTCCTAAGCAGCCTTCTTTGATGTCACATCCCTTTTCTCAAATTTACATTTTCATGTTATTTTAAAACAATATTTGTTTTAAATTTCCTACAGTAAAACTCACTTTCTTTGATGTAGAGCATTGTGAGTTCTAACAAATGTATAAAGTAAAAGTGAGGTAACTACCACCGTAGTACAAAACCGTCCCATCACCTCAAATTTACACAGTGCTGCTCGTTTGAGGGCAGCCTTCTACCTCTACCACTGATCTCTGGCAAGTAGTGATCTGTACTCTGTACCTACATTTTTGCCTTTATATTTCCCTATGTCTTTGTTATATAAATGGAATAATATGGCATGTGTCCCTTGGAATTTGCCTCCCTTCACTTCCTAAAATGCATTTGAGATTTGCCTGTGTTGTTGCATGTGTAAGCATTTCATTCTTTGTAAATATTTTTTATTTTATGAAAAAATTAAAATTCCATAACAAAATAAGAAAATAACAATAGTAATACACAGTGTATTATTATCTTCAAACTACCTACTAAGAATATAAGACATAGACAAAAAGATTCTTACAAAGAAGAAGCAAATAGATAAACCTCAGTTTGTTTAACCATTCACTCATAAAGACATTTGAGTTGTTTCCAGCATTTGGCAATTATTAATAGAAGTACTTTAACATTTGTGTACAAAATTTTGTATGGACACAAGTTTTCATTTCACTTCAGTAAATACCTTAAGTGGAATAGCAGAGTCATATGGGAATTGTACCTTTCTTTAAAAGAATTTGGTGTTACCTTTATAAGAAACTACCACACCATTTTCCAAAGTGGCTGTTTTTGCATTTCTTTTGGTCATTTATGAGATTTCCAATTTCTCTCCATCTTCACCAGCACTTGGTATGCCATTATTTTTTAAATTTGGCCATTCTAATGGTTATATTAATGGTATCTCAGTGTAGTTTTAATTTGCATTTCCTTCATGACTAATGATGCTAAACATCTTTTCACATGTCTGTTTGTATCTTTTGCCCATGTTCTAACTGGACTTCTTGCTGTTATATTGCTGAATTTTGATAGTTTTATCTTTTCTAGGTACTAGTACTTTGCTAGATATGATTTGCAAATATTTTCTTCTGTTCTGTAGTTTGTCTTTGATTTCACAGCAGTATCTTTCCCAGAAAAAAAGGTTTTCATTTTGACAAGGTCCAATTTATTGATTTTTGTTTTATGAACTGTGCTTTGGAATCATGTGTAACACCTCTTTGTCTACCTCTAGATCCCTGAAATTTTCTTTTATATTTTCTTCTAAAAGCTTTTTATCTCTCATTTTTACATCTTAGTCTATCGTCCATCTTGAGTTAATTTTTGTATAAGGTTTGAGACTTAGATTATTTTTCTTTTCTATGTACCAGTACCATTTGTTTGAAAAACTTTCCTCTACTGAATTTCTTTTGCAACTTTGTCAAAAATCACTCTGGCATAGTTGTGTGGGTGTATTTCAGAAATCTTTATTCCATGTCATTGATTTATGTGTTGGCCCTTTCACCAACAGTACACTGACTTGATTACTGTGCTTCTAGCTTACTTTTCTTCTGTTGATACAGTTCCTCAGTGGTGTTATACATTAAATATCCAAGATGGAGAAGCCACATGCTACTCACCGAGGGGAGGGAATTATCACAGCAGTCTAGGCACACGTTGTGAGCTCTCCTGTGACCGGGGCTTTCGATTGATTGGACGGAGGTCAGTGCAATGCTTGCCAAGCCGTCGTTGGTCTGGAACTGCCTACTGCAGACGTAAGTTGTATGCATGCATATGCTGATGTGTGGTATGAGAGAAGCTTACGAAACAGCCGTTGAGAATATATACCTGAAGGTGTTACTATGCCTTTCTTCCAAGTGCAAATTGGAAATTTTCCATAGGCTCTCAAGAGCCTTTTCTCATCCTGACATCCTACTTTATTTTCTGTCTCTGTGGTTACTGTTCAAGCAATACTGTTCTAGCAACTAAGTAGCAGCCAGCTGCTCTGACTCAGGGAACCCAGGAGTGCATTCAGAAGGCCAATACTTGCCCCTGAGTCCTGATATGGACCTAGGCTACCTTCTAGAGCTCCCAAAGATAGGCAGTTCCACAATCTCCTATTTGTGTTCAAATGCTATACTGCAGCTTCTTTAGAAAGCCTAGTCAGTACAGCTGTGAAACATCTGCTATTCTTCATTCTCTCCTATAAGTCAAAAAGTATGCTAAGGGTAGCATATAGGGATGCTAACACATATGCATCTCAAATCACATATCCCTTAAGCTTCCAAATCCCTAGCTTTAACTCAAGGTCCACAGCCAACCTACTTTTAGGGAGTAAGCTTTGTCTATCCATATGTCCATCATTGGGTATCGTTTGTAGGATATTCATGTGTGCAGAGCCCTATCTTGGCCATTTCAGGAACTTAATTCTTCAACTACACTCAGGCTGTTTATAGACGAATGGAACATAAAGCCAAATGTGTGCACATGTCATGTACCTAGACGTAGAAATGCTGAGCATTCAGGGAGAAACAATGTTGGTCAGAGAAGATGTGACAGAGGAGAGGACAACTAGAGATAAGGAAGTCACAACAACCTTCTAGGTGACTATAATTAAGTTCTTTTAGGATTTAAGAGCCATACTTTCTAAAATGAATTTGAATTGGCTGGGGCTATATATAAGGCTATAATTTATAAATAAACAAAAAACAGTTAAAAGAATATTTTCACTGGTGCTTAGAATGAGTGGAGTATTATATTTGAGTAGCAAGTGTACCTTTGACCTTCCTCATAAAAGACAAATGAGCAAATGGATCTATATCTTCATTGTCATATAATACTAAGCAAACAAATTCATCTGAAGAAGCAAACCCTTTATTTGGATCTGATTTTAAGGTGATTGTTTTTGCATAGGTCTTCACAAAACAAATACTGGGAAACAGAAAAGGCAATAATCTTCAAGTCTGGTTTGACCAAGAAGCAAAATGAACATAATTTATGTAGAATCTTTATTCAAATATCTAAATGTTGAACTTCTAGGATTAGAATTTAGATAACCTAAAGGAATATATGGCCTTAATCCTCTCAAGCATCAGATGTTTGAAGTAAAACTCTGGCATGCACAGGCTCACAAGTGCTTCATGTTAGCAGTCTCTGGCATATGTGACATCTAAAGCACATGATTCTTCTTTTGTCAAATACCACAACAGTTGGACCCCAAGGCACTTGGCTGGACTTGCATTGTCACCCAGATAGAGAGCTAGCCTACTCTGGGATGTGAGTCTCAGTCAAGGAATGGCTTTGAAAGCACAAAAATGCCACTCAAAACCAAGATTTAAGCATGGTCAAGGGCATATAGCATTTTAGGAAAGAAACAAAAGCTAACAACAACAACAACAAAAGCTAGCAATTGCTGAGGCTCTAAATGAGCCCAAAGGTTTATATGTATTGTCTCTTTAGTCTGTCCAACAATCTTGTGAGGTATCCACACTTACTGATGAAAACAATGAGATTCCAGAGATGAGGCAACTTCTTCAAGTTACAGATCAAGTAAATAGGTGAAGCTGGCATGAATACTCAGGTCTGATTCTGGACTTCATATGTTTGGACAAGTAATTTATTTTTTTGAGACATCCCTCCCTTTCTCAAGAGTCTTCTGCACTTTAAGAATATAAAAGCAATTAGGGAAAATAGCAGTTAGGAAAGAACTGTAAGGGCAGTTTGGGTCAGGTTTTTGTATTTTCTGTTGTCTCTGGTATGGTTCTTCCTGTTATAGATGCCCAGGCATCACCTCCAAATAGTCCCATAGACAACTGTGATTGCCACTTGGTTCTCTCTTAGAGATAAGATGCCATGCACTACCATTTATCACTAGCGGCACCTACACTTGCACAAATGGGGTGCTTCTTGACTCCCGCTGTGACTACAGCTGTTCCAGAGGCTACCACTTAGAAGGTGACCGCAGCCGAATCTGCATGGAAGATGGGCGATGGAGTGGAGGCGAGCCTGTATGTGTAGGTAAATGCTGCTTGCTCCCAACTGATTTGCTACAAAGAGCCACTCTAGCATCATGTCCACAAAGATATAGAATTCTAATTGCAAAAAGCATTCCTGTTCACTGTGAGTGTGGAACTGTGGGCATATGCTTAATAAAATGATTATTTCCCCCTGAAGTTGGGCTTTCTCCCCTAGTTTCCTTGAAAAACTTGAAATTTAACTCACTTAGTGGTGTGTGGTGTTGCTTCAATGGGTTTCCTCTAGAGAAGGCAGGGGACCCATGAATCAGTCCTTGCTTTTTGACCGTGGCAGACATTGATCCCCCTAAGATCCATTGTCCCCACTCACGTGAGAAGATGGCAGAGCCAGAAAAACTGACTGCTCGAGTATACTGGGATCCACCCCTTGTGAAAGATTCTGCTGACGGCACAATCACCAGGTGAGCTGCGGTAACACATGCCACACATTCCACCTGCGTCTTCTCCAGCTTCTCACACCGAAACTGCATAGGCTGAGGCTACAATGTTGATGTGCCTCAGATCTCAATTCTAAGAATCATTTCCTTCAGTAGCTCCTTCACCCTGTCTTATTCAGGGTGACACTTCGGGGCCCTGAGCCTGGTTTTCAATTTCCTGAAGGAGAGCATGTGATTCGTTACACGGCCTATGACAGAGCCTACAACCGGGCCAGCTGCAAGTTCATTGTGAAAGTACAAGGTCAGAAAGAAGTCTTCAGTTTCCATATTGTTCATTATTCCTGCTCTACTCTCACCTTCTAAAATCTCCAAAAGACCTCTCTTTATGCCTGAAACACACTTCATTTATACTCAGAGCGAGAGGAAAATTCAAGTTTATTAAACAGGCTCCTTCAGGAAGCCTACATTACATGTGAATACACAAGTTAGAGAAAACTTAACTCTCCAACAAGACTTCCACATTCTCCTAAATCTAGATAAAATGCACAAAATTACTCTATATCTATTTACCTTGGCCTTCAAACTTATCAAATATAATTAATCTTCATTCTGGACTTGGTAGTGCTGGCTGTCTGATTCTTCCTCTTTGCTTTGTATCACATTTGGTTTTGCCTTTTTTTCATTATAAAAATAATTCTTGTGCATTGTTGGACATTTCGAAAACAAAGAAATATGTGAAAGGGGAAAATCTATTAGCCCATCATTCAGAGGCAGTTGCTGTTAATCTTTTGGTATTTTTCTACCAGTCTGTTCTCTGTGCATACTTAAAAATATCATTGAGATTATACTGTTCAACACTCTTTTTCATTTTTTATTCTATCACAAGCAATTTTCCCATATTCCTTAAAAATTCTTCAGAAATACTTTCAATGACAGCATAACATTATACTCTAAGAATATATCATGATTTACATAAACCTTCCCAATCATTAAGATTCCTCTGACTTATTTCTGTCAATAAAAGTAATTCTACAAGATGGTCATCTTTACATAGGGTATCCATAAAGTTTGTAAACGTTGATATTTTTTTTAAAAAAAACAATAGCCTTTTGATGATAATATGTATATTCATTTGTGTTTCCAGAATTTGTGAGCCTCTGTGTACATTTCATATGTAATTTCTTAAGAAAAAAAATCTGGCTTTTATGGCCATAAAAGCCCTTCATTCTGATTATCCCAAGTCTCCTGCTCTGGAAAGCCTTGGGAAGGCACTTTCCTAGTCTTTCCTACCTACAAGAGATACTATTCCCTCTAACTTAAGCTCCTCCCTCACAGTGAGACGCTGTCCAATTCTGAAACCACCACAGCACGGTTACCTTACCTGCACCTCAGTGGGCAACAACTATGGTGCCACCTGTGAGTACCACTGTGATGGTGGTTATGAGCGCCAAGGAACCCCCTCCCGGGTCTGCCAGTCCAGTCGCCAGTGGTCAGGAGCACCACCTATCTGTACTCGTAAGTGAAACCAGGAAATGGGGAGCATGGACCTGTTGATCAAAGTTACTTTGAAGGATATTCCCATGGCAAAGAGTTCCAATAGCAATGCATATATGAGGAATGGGAAATTCTGAGGTATTCTGAGGTATATGTATTTTAAGGGCCAACATTCCCCTATAGAATAATCCTACCTCAAGAAGAAGGACTTAAAATCATCTAGTTTTTTTTTTTCCAGGATTTTCCCCCAGGGCAGGGAGAGATAACTCTAAGGGTTCACCCAAAAGACTGGAATACCTCAAGATGTTAGGGTTACCCATGCAGGGTGAAGAAGTGTATGCTCTGACTGGCTATCTGCTTCTACCTTAGCTATGAAGATTAATGTCAATGTCAATTCAGCTGCTGGCCTCCTGGATCAATTCTATGAGAAACAACGGCTCCTCATCATCTCAGCTCCTGATCCTTCCAACCGATATTATAAAATGCAGATCTCTATGCTGCAAGTAAGACCTACTTCCCTGATGAAGACTTAACTCTTTTACATTACCCCCTTTACTTTTTCGAAAGCAATTAATTGATATCTGGATATAAACTCTGCTTTCTCAAACTTTTTGTGGGTGGTTTTTGATCAGTTTTACCAAAGATACAGTGAGCATATTATTCAAAACTTTACTGAAAGGGCAATAAGGCCACAGGAATGGTAGATGTGACTTGTAGGGGACTGGGTAGGAGAAGTTGATAAGGGAGTATGCCAAAGCATTCTGGAGAGACTTGTAAGATAGATATGATCAAACATCAGTACCAGCAATTAACTCCATTTGTGTTTTCAAGGAATAATAGTACTAACAAGCATATACAGTAAGTGCTGTGTAAGTACCAGGTACTGATCTGCAAGCTTTATACATACTCAACTAATTCTCACAATAGCCCCTATGAGGTAGGCATTATTATAATCCCCACTGAATAGGTGAGGAAACCAAGGCATAGCAGAATAAGTGATTTTTCTCAAGGTCACTAAATAGTAAATGTTAGACCTGGGATTGAATCCAGACACGCTGGCTCCAACATTTGTGCTCTCAACTGTTACCAGTAGGAAAAGTACTGTGATATTCCAAAGTAAAACGGAGATGTTCCATGATGACTTTTAATACACTAAAAGATACCTAGCCAAAGCCACTTGTGAGCAAGGGAGAAGTAGGTAGAAAAGAATAGATATGACCATGGGGATTTATAAGAAGAATAAAAAGAGAATTGCTAAAGAGAATTCAAGTTGTATTGAAAGCACAGAGAGAAGCATAACTGGGGAGCTTCAAGGGGCTGGATAAATAGTTAAAAGACAAAGCTACTTAGGGGGTTTCTAAAGGCTGAATCATACAAGTTGCCAAGCCAATATGGCCTATGATGGCAGTGGTTTCACCAAAAGGATGAAACTAGGGGTTTAAACCAAAAAGGACCGTGTTCCTTTTTGAGGATAAATCAGGCAAATGCAACAATTCAAATTAATAGGAAGCAAGAGAAGGAACCTTACAAGGATAGTAATGCTGAGGGTCAAGGCTAGAGAACAAGACCTCAGGTGAAACAAGAATTCGGTACCAGGAAAGGACTCTTTATATCTCACCCTGATAAATGCAAAGTATGAGATCCTGCAGGACAATGAGCCAGGGAAGGCAGTGTTATAGGGTGTATTTCCCAGTGTAAGGAAGGCGACAAAGGGTAGTGAAAAGACCATTGGGTGCTATTTTGGAGAAATCTTAGGACTGAGAGAAGGCCCTGGAGATGTAGTGGTAAAGGGCACACATTCAGGCAGGCTGCATCAGGCCTAGTTTGAGTCTCAGCTTAGCATGTTATTGCCATGCAAATTTGGGCCTTACTTTCTCTTCTACAGAGTCAGAATGACCCCACCTACATTCTTAGCCTTGTTACAATGAATAAATTATTCCTAGGAAGCATTAGGTATGTATAAACAAGAAACATTAGCCATTACCATCTCATGAAAGCCATCCAGTAAAAACTTACGTAGTTTTAAAATATATAGCAGATAATGTGAAATAGGAAGAAAAGGTCTAAAGGGAAAACTGGAAGAGGTAGGGGAAAGGAGAAAAGGGAAAAGAAAAAAATATGAGAAAAGGAATAAATGGAAACAAAGTCTTCATAAGTAGGGAGGGGTGAAGGGGTTGAAAGGAGGGCAGGGGAATGGGGAAAAATAAGAACCAATTAAATATCATGTAAAGGTACAAATTGCCAATGATGAATGTGATCATATTGTATAACCTAAAATGTACCAGTAAACTTAATGAATAAAAAAAACATGTAGTTTAAAACTTGTGAAAAGCTGAGCAATATTATTGTCCTGAAGTTTAGTAATTATGTTTCCCTTTTCTACTCCACATTCTATAAGAGGTTTCATGCCCTTCAGAAGATTTAAACACTATTGGAGCAAGTGCTTCTGAGAATGATAGAGGGGAAAGGTTATGTAGACCTCATATTATGCTCATTGTGATCCTGTAATTGTGTATTTATTGAAGAAGTTCTTCCCTTGCCAAACTTCTTCATGTGGTACCCGGAGTAATCAGACAAGCAGCTTTAAGTATAAATACAAAGGTCAGTTCCATTAAATGTTCTCTCTCCTCCACTCCCCAGCAATCCACCTGTGGACTAGACCTGCGGCATGTGACCATTATCGAGCTGGTGGGGCAGCCGCCTCAGGATGTGGGGCGCATCCAAGAGCAACAGCTGTCATCCAGCATCATCGAGGAGCTCAGGTTTAGGCTGGGAGGCTGCAGGGCAGGGGTGGGCCAAAACCATAGGCAAGATACTGACAACGCAATAGGTGGCAAGGCAGTAGGTGGCAGAATAGTAGACACTAGTTTCTTGAGGCACTTGTGTTTCAACTCTTATGGAAATGCTAAGATAAGAGAGTTAATTCTTAACTCTTGCAGGGCAAGAGAATCAAATGGGGCTCAAAAAGATTACCAGACCTCACCCTAAATATATTTTCATAAAGGTACCTATAGTGGCTTTGAAACATATCCATGGCTGAGACAACTAGATCCAAACTTGACTTAGATAAGCATCAGACCCTGTTGATTCATGGCCACATCTTTTTACCTGCAGTCTACAAAGGATCATAAGGGATTTTTAGGCACTAAAAACTGAATCATATCAATCAGCTCCTTGGGGAAGAGAAGACTATAAATGATATGTGGTAGAAATTGGCTTTTCTCAATATCTGTCCATTATTGGCCTTGTAATCCCTCCACATATACTCCAGACCAATAAATCTATCAGTGACCTCTGTTCTAGAAACAATACTTACCTTTAGGACTCAGTCTCGGTAATGACAGAGAGATTCAGTCCCTGTTAAAGAGACTAGAAAACACTCAGAGGAAAGATACTGAAGATGTGCAGCTACAGATCAAAGAGTTAACCAAGTGGTATTCATCAGCCTTAGGGCTGTTTTGTATGATGTGTGTAATGTCATGTAGTAGCCCTGTTTAAAGGAGCCTACAACAGGAGCATAACCTAGTTATAAAAAGCTGCCTCAGCTTGGGTGAGTAAAAGAAAGCTTAGCAGAGCTAGACAAGTAGAGGCAGATTAGGGTCAGAGCAGAAAGAAAGAAAAAAAAACCAGAGACTTGAGATAAGTAGTGGAGAGGATGGGGACAAGGGACAGGATGGGGAAAGAAGCAGTCTCCAGCTGAGCTGTGAAAGGTCAAAGGACAAATACCCAGATAAAGTCTCATAGTTCCTTGGGCTGCTCTCTCTAGGCAATTCCAACACCTTACTCGCTCCTACTTCAACATGGTACTGATTGACAAGCAGGGTATTGACCGGGAACGTTACATGGAACCTGTCACCCCTGAGGAAATCTTCACATTCATTGATGACTACCTACTCAGCAACCAGGAGATGATCCAGCGCCGGGAGCAAAGGGATATGTGCGAGTGAACTTGAGCTAAGGAATGGTTACGGTCAAAGGAAAAGCTTCCCTACTTAGATAAACCTGAGGCCTAATAAAAAGATAAAATGTTTTCCCACAATTCTAGAGACCATACTCTGAAGTGGGCAAGGCCTGTCAATGTTGGGATATTTTTCAGGTGACGTTTTTGGCTGTTTAATAGCTTTGCCTGTTCCTCCAAGGAGCAAAAGCTAAGAAGAGAAGGAAGACAGGCTCTGGGGAGTAGGTTGGAGGTAGAGTAGGTCTTCCTTTCATAACTCAGAAATTGCCCAGCTCTCCAAAGTCTTTCAGATAAGTAAATCCTAAATTCATTCATTTATTTACTGGCTGTTTTAAATGTTTCCTCTACCCAGAGGTGATACCAGAGGGCAGCACTATCACAACAAACAACCAAGACACTATCAAGTGTACTTTATTAGATCAGAGGCAGAGATTTATAAAACACTCTTGAACCTGTTTGTCACTTCATCTAATAGGGCATTGGGCTAAAACTGTTGCTTGAAACATTGCTTCATCAAGAGTTAGGAAAACATTGCAATGGGAGGGAGTTGGCAAAGAAAATTCTAATCAGAACAGAAAGCTGTCTTGTGGCTCCTCCAGCTGGCTCATGGGCAAGAATCTTTGCATACTGAGGCCTCTGGCCCCCAGAACAAATGGTAGATAATGTAGTCCCTTCCTTAGTAGAGTCGCCCCAGCCTGTGAGCTTTAGCACCTTAAAAGTATCACTGAAAGTAGTAAAGACCCCACCTCATGTATTAATTTCCACAGATATCGACTTTTAAGAGATCAGTTATATGCAGGTGGGAGCCACATCAGCACAAAGTCAAGTCTTACGATCCAGGCTTGAAAGTACATTTGAGGTCATGCTATTGGGAAGTGGAGCTACACACAATTCCTGGATCTTTCCCTTCCTTCATTCCTTTCCTTCCTTCTTTGATACTGGGAATTGAACCTGGCACATTCTAACCCCATTATCTAACACCAATCTTCACCTCCAGCCTCAGATCCCTAATCTGATTTCAGTCCGACTCAACAAGAGTGTCAGTGTTTGGAAGACAAATGTTTTCCTCGCCTTGCTGCTAAACACCTGCAACACTCATGGAACTCAGAGTCATAATTAAGACTCAGCAGCCTTTTGCTCTACCCAGGGGGTCACCAGAGAAGGGAGGAAGCAGGCTGGGTGGGGGAAGCAGAACCAATAATGCTTGAGCATTTACTATGTGTAAATTCTAAACACTCTATTCATTGACTCTGAAGTATTCACCAGAACCCTAAAAGATAGATATTATTATTAGCTTTCTTTTATAGATGAGAGAATTGAAGCTTAGTGAAGTAAGGCAATCTGCCGAAGATCAGACAGCTAATATGTGGCAGAGTCAGGATTTAAGCATCAGCAGACTGACTTGGGAGTCAATGTTCTTAGAAATTATGCCATCCAGCCTCTGCTTCTCTTCCTACTTCCCATACAAAGACAGTTGAAAGCTCTAACCAAGGAGAATGCTTCCATCTTCTGTTACCCTACTGAGACTCAAAACTCAGAGTGCTTCCAGGAGGAAAGATGAAAATGATAGGCTCTCAGCCCAGGAAAATTCATTTAAAGCAGAGTGGTGATAAAAATCAGGAGTCCAGGGTTATTGGGGTAACAGTGAGTCAAAGAAAAGCTACTTCCACTGGAGTTTTAGGGGCATTCTCATTGTTTAAATGCAAAATAAAAAGGCCGTTGATGGCTGAAATGAGACATGGAAGAAATAACCTGAAGGAGCAAGGTCCATTTCCCTCCAGAGAAATATAAGAGATCTGAAAGACCAAAGGCAAGTTATGGGCAGAAGGCAAAACAATGAGTTCATGTAGGAAATTTCTGGTCAGATAAAATCTGTGGTTCCAAAGGCAGAGATTACATATTGAGAAAGATAAATGCCCTTCCTTTTATCATTAACACTTCAAGTGGTAGCAGGCCAAAGGCTTAAGCAATAACAGAGGGGGCCTACTTCTCCCTGGACAAAGTTTCCAGCTGGGCCTGACTCTTGCATATAAATGCTTCTCAACTTTAAGACAAGTGAGAAGCTCTTTTTTGTCTCATTTCAAGTAGTCAAAGCAAGTCAATTTTGCTCTATTTAAGTTTTTTTGTAACTTCCTTTGTAATTTATGATTCAAAAAATCCCAACTCCTAAAGCAAGGGACAGACATAGGAAAACTGGGCCCACAGCCAGACCCAAAAGTGTTAGAATGACCCAAGCTCTGTAAAAATCTCGATTCCTCTATTTCTGAACACTTCTGGCACCAACTCTCTCTCTTTCCTTCTGTTCCCTGTTTTCCTTCTTCCCCTTTCCTTCACTTTTCTCTATCTACTCCTTCCTTCTCTCCTATAAACACAGGCTAGTTACTAAGCTGGATGAGTATTAGCCAAAGCATTTTGATTATCTTATTTGGTAAATTAAACCCGTTTCTCTAAGATACTCTAGAAGAGAGATTAGTCACCCCTTCCTTTGACTCTTTGCCCATAAGACATGTATCATTCTCATAGGAAGCACCATCATTCAGTAAAATCAGACTTTGATGAAAATACTAATTCTGCTATGTGAGAGTGGGCTTGAGTCTCTTCACCTGTGAAAAGGAAAGATTTCCTACTTCATAAGGTAGTTGAAGCGATTATGGAAATAAAATATAAAGCCTTGTACACAAAAGATATTTAGTACATATTAATGTCATTTTTTATAAGAGGTCAAGAATCTTTTGGGCTCTATCTAGAAACCCAGAGCCCTATTTCAGAGATAGATTACTTCAGAGATTCCTTAGTATCTGTGTTATTTGTACTAAAATAATTTTTTGGTAGAATACCAAAAAATACAATGCTAAAAAATGGTAGAAGTAGAAGAAAAAGTCTCCACTTTCCAGGGAAATCAAAAAAGTGAGAAGGAAGTGCTTACAGTAGGGAATGTCTTCCCTTACCTTCTTTGTGAACATGAGTCTCCTCCCTCCAACAAGGGAGGGTCTACAAACCTAAAAGCAGACTTCCCCTGGTACTTAAGAGAGAAAAGTGATGCCATTTTTAACATGAGTTCTCACTTCTCTCCTTAGACTCCAAGCATATAGGACAAAGGATCAGGCTAAGAAAAGTATACAGGAACAATGTGGGAAAGGAAAAAATTTCTTCAAAACACCACAGGATGGTTAGGAAAGGGCATTTATTGCTCTGGCTCTTAACCTTCAAGCCACATGTTAATGCAACAGCAATAAATCAGGACATCAGAGACAAAATCATCTATGGAATGAACAAATGCAAACATTTGACAAGTGAAAAGGTTTTATTGAAGCACACATTCATGTTAGTAAGTGGAAAACAACAGAGCAACAGCCCAGGATACCAAGTTATACTTTCCATTGCAGTATCAATCCACACCAAACAATGTTTTAAAAGCATTTTTCCACCGAGTCCACCCATACAAAAGAAGCCAATAACAGCTACCCTTGGTCCAATGGTTTTACAGGAAAGGCAGCTAGCAGCTGGGTCTACTGAAAAGGATTTCTCCTCTGATATACACTCCTTCCATATACAACTTTGCACAGCCACACTTGTAAGAATGAAAATGTCAGTCTGGAAGAATGAATAGCAGGAAATGAAATTTAGCTCACCAGAACTCTCTTTGAAAAACTATGCTACACCACACCCATGTTATATGCAGGTCAAGTTTAGAAAACAGATGAAATGGGAACTGAAACTATATCAGGTAGGAAGTCCAAATAATTGAAAGAATCCCTGTTCACATTCTCTTGGAGCACTAATGATCCCTAGCCAGAGGAACCACTGACAACTTAGACAATCCTTGGTTCTTCTGGTTGACACAGAGGTATGCAGACCATATTCTGTGTGGCAATGCCCTGAAGACAGAAACACTGAGAAAGATGTGGTATGAAAGTGTAGATGTCTCATCTTGCTTTAGAGAAATGAGGACTTCTCTCCCCCAATAACTTCTGTATCCATTTAAAATGCAGAGAATTCAGCATGGCTGTGAGACACTTTACTCTGTCACTCAGATCCTCTCAGATCAGCCAAAAGGTCTCACTGGGCATGTCCATCACCAAGCCAACAGGTCATTATCTAATTAAATTGCTTTTCTAAAGTGACTCTTATAAGTGTTCCCTAAAGAGCCAGTAAAGTTGCCTAAAACTGGAAGGAGCTGAAGAATATTCTTAGCATTTCAAAGAAAACCTTTACACTCAAGCAAGGTAGTAACTGCTTAAAAAAAGAAAAGTTAAAAGCCAGGTTTTGGTTATATGCCAAGGTAGAAGATGAGTTAAAAATATAAATCGTAGAGGAAGGAGAAGATATACTTACCTCTCTCCCAATTCCTCTGTCTTTAGTAACCAACCCTGCTTTCAGGAGTCTTGGTGTCAGATCAGGTATATCTTTAAACCACAGACTGAAACTAATACAAAAGGTAGCCAGGGCTTCCCATGGTAGCAAAACAGAAGCTACAGTATTGTTTTAAAAGACCTTTTTATAGTTAATTAGACTTCATGAAGATAAAAAGAATGGACTCTGATAATATACTACACTATGCACAAGTAGAAACATTTTCAAGAGAGCTTTATTCTTCAGCCTGTTCTATAAGGAGGAACAAGTCTGCATCTCTCTAGCTAGCAAACTAAGACTTGCAGAAATACATGTTTATACACAACATCCAACACACACATTAAATTAGAAAACTTTGCTCTTGGTTTCTTCACTTCCTCTGACTTGCTCTGGCCAGGTGGGGAGCTGTAGAGGATGACAGGGACTCATAAACCCAGCTTCTGCTTGGCCATCGAGGAACGGAGTTGCAGAGTCCCTTCTGCCCAAGACCCTGGGTACTGTCGCATCTTCTGCCATAGGCTCACTTCCTCCCCAGTTGAGTCCATCCAGTCCACTATTTCCCCATTACTGATCCCTGAGGAAAAACACCAAAGGAGGCTGAAGAGGGACCCAATTCTTCATCCCAGTAGGGAAGATGAGCTATAAAGCAAGGGTAGCTGACCCATTAAAGATTGTGCAGTGAAAATTAGTGATGGGGACAGTAGTATGTGAAGAGCTCCCTGTTAATCTTGCACAGATATTTCTGTGCTACTGAGGCTAATGAGGGACTCTGAGCTCATAAAATGGGATTCCAAATGGGACACAGACACTGCAGACTTCTTATTCAAATGCTATTACAAAGTTCTCATGGCTGATACTTCATGCCAGAGCTACTGCTATTCTGTTATTGCCAATATTTAAACGTTGGATGATGACCATTTTCTCTAGCTATAGACTCCAGGCCTGAAGTTAGGATTCTGTGGGCTCATTCTTCCAACATTTACTGTCTATTATGTGACAGATACTCTTTTAAGCTCTGGGGATACAATGATGAACAATACAGAAAAAGTCCCTCCAGGCAGCTTATATTTGAATAGGAAAGACAGAAAATACAACAAGAATACTAACAAAAGTGCATCAGCTAGTGAGTTCAATGTTAAGAAATAGAGTAAATTGTAGTGCCTGGATGGGGACCTATTTTAGATAGAATGGTCTGAGGAACTCTGAGAAAGAAACATCTGAATAAAGACCTAAATAATGAGGGAAAACTAGTCTTTCAAAACAGAGGGAATAGTAACTGTAAATGTTCTGAAGTCGGAAAGAGCTTGGTATATTTAGAAGAAGAACTAGGGTTACTGTGGTTGTACCATAGTGAGTGAGCAGGAGAGTAATACAGGAAGGAAGTGAACAGAGGGTTTAAATTATATGTGAGCCTGTAGGTTTGGTAAGGACTTCATATTGTTTTCTTAGTATGCTAGTAAGCCACTGAATGGTCTTAGCTTACATGTGTAAAAACATCACTCTAGATGGATTTTCGGTTATTAATATGCAAGTAGCATTTTAGGCCATGGAAATGCAGAGACTATGGAGAAAGGAAAGAACAGAACACAAAACTAAACTCAGAGAAGTACCAATATTTACAGTTTGAGTATAGAATGAGGAATACACCCACTCACACACACAAAAGAACCTGAGAAGCAGTGAGCAGTGGGTTCAAAAGAAATAAAGAGTATAATGTTAACAAAAGTGTATCAAGAAAAAATGAGCGATCTTCTATGTTAAATAGTATTGAAACTTCTAGTAAGAGAAAAGCAACACTTTGACATGAATGACTGCTCAGCAGAGTGGTGCGATAGAAGCCAGATCACTACTAGTAGGTTGAGAGCTAAAGGAGAGGTGAGGAAGTGGAAACTGTACGTTTTAAGAAATTAGACGGGGTGTAGTCAAGGAAAGGTTTCCTTTTGTTTAATAAGATT